GCCAGCGCTTCAACCGCATTGGTCTGCCACCCAAGGTATGGCGCTGGCCTCCATGCGTGTCTGTCATTGCTTCTCCATCTCCTGTGGCCTCCTTTAACACAGCCTCTCCTTTCCTCAGGTGGGCTCCTTTCAGCTCTTTGTGGAAGGCTACAAGGATGCTGACTACTGGCTGCGGCGGTTCGAAGCTGAGCCGCTCCCGGAGAACACCAACCGGCAGCTGCTGCTGCAGTTCGAGCGGCTTGTGGTGCTGGACTATATCATCAGGAACACAGGTGGGGATGCTGATGCTTCCTGGCCTGGGACGCTGCTCCTTCATGTCCTGCCAGCTGGAGAGAGGGGATGGGGGCAGGGGCTTGGCATCTCTTCCCAGCACCCAAACTTCCTCTTGACATCACTTGGCAGTTGCCACCAGGCAGCAGCTTCTGGGTAGAACGTGGCTGCTGTGACTGCCTGCCGGGGAAATGCCCTGGCTGCTGGCCTGTGTGCTGGGAGATCTGGAACCACCACTGTGCTGGTGGTAAGTTTCCCAGCTGTGAGGATCCAGGGGCATCTGGAGATGCAGCACCTGACTGTGTCCTTGCGTCCCATCTCATGTTGGGCTTACAAGTTCCTGCAGGCTGGAAGAGGTTGAGGGAGCACCCTGGGACTTGCAGGCTGACCTCTCTTTTGTGAGCTGGGCATACGTGGACCTCTCCAGTCTCCAGGACTGGTTGTGTGGGGGTTGATGTGGCTTCCCAGGCCTTCAGCAAGCTCAGGGCTCTGGGGTACAGCTTGGGCCTAAAACTGTCCTGTCTCACTTCTGGGTTAGGAGAGGAGTAACCTTCTGCCTGGTGTGGTGCAGGCAGGCCCTGACACTGACACAGCTGGTTCTATCTCCCTGCAGATCGGGGCAATGACAACTGGCTCATCAAGTACGACTGTCCCCTGGACAGCGCGGGCGTGCGGGTGAGCGGCTCTTACTGGGAAGGAGGGATGGGAATCCCACCTGGCTTGGGTTTCTGAGTGGGAGAGGGACTGTTCATGCTGCAGGGTGCTCCCTGTGACCTGCTTCTTTTCCTTTCAGGACAGTGACTGGGTGGTGGTGAAGGAGCCCATCATCAAGCTGGCTGCTATAGACAACGGTTTGGCCTTTCCCTTGAAACACCCGGACTCCTGGAGAGCATGTGAGTTCCTCACACTGTGCCAGGGCACCCTGGTGAGCCAGAGAACTCCATGCTCAGGCATCTTCTTTAAGGGCTGGAGAAGACAGGGGAAGGGCTGTCTCTCTGCAAACCTTCTGCGTTCATGGGTGACTCTGCCTCAACAGGGGCTGTAGAAAGCGGGTACTGTACCCTGTGTCCCAGATGCAGGTGATCTGTCACAAAGGGGCATGTGGCACCATCCTTTGTCTTCTCCAGCTCTAACATCTACTGCTTACTCCCACAGATCCATTCTACTGGGCATGGCTGCCCCAGGCCAAAATCCCCTTTTCACAGGAGATCAAGGACCTGATTCTTCCCAAGATCTCAGACCCCAACTTTGTCAAGGACCTGGAGGAAGATCTATATGAGCTCTTCAAGGTGAGCTTGGGGAGCGGGTGAGGATGGCTTGGGAGGAAGAAAAGCTGGTGTGGTGTTGGGAAGCTCCCTGTCAAGGCTGCAGAGGACAGAAATGTGGACAGGCTCCTGGCTGTTCATAAGCTGAGGTATAGCTGGGTTATCCCTCTGCCAGGATCTGAGGATTCAGTGTGGGGAGAAGCAGAAAACCCATGGGACAAGAGGAGAGGCTTGCTTGGGGAATGGGCATCTCCTGCGTGGCTTGAGGCAGCAGGTGGATCTCACTGTGTTCTCTGCTCTCTCTCTTGCAGAAAGACCCTGGCTTTGACAGGGGACAGTTTCACAAGCAGATTGCAGTCATGAGGGGCCAGGTAAGCTGTGTGTAGGGAATGCGGATGGGTGAGGCATGGAGCCTTGTCCTGCCGGTGTGGCAGGTAGGGTGATGGGGTGGATGCTCTCTGCTGCGTCAGGGCAGCTCGGGCATTGCTCTGTTGTGCTGTACAGATCCTGAACCTGACTCAAGCGCTGAAGGATGGGAAGAGCCCCCTGCACCTGGTTCAGATGCCGCCTGTGATTGTGGAAACGGCACGTTCCCACCAGCGCACCGCCAGCGAGTCCTACACGCAGAGCTTCCAAAGCCGGAAGCCTTTCTTCTCCTGGTGGTAGCCATGGGAGCCACAGGCAGGGCTTGGCTGCCTCGGACTGGCATTGTGAGAGGAGCCGGGCCACTGCTGGCTCCCGTGGCTGGGACTCGACCTTCTGGGTTGAGTGCGGCTGGAGGAACCTGCAGCTGAACTGGAGGAGCCAGGCAGGTCGGGCACGGTCCCTCCTCAGCTCCGTTGGAGCTCAGTGCCCTGCCTGGGGCAGAGCCCAAGGGGAGGAGTGGGAATCCTCTGGGAGCTGTGGTGTAGCTGGGACCCTGCCCCTCCCTTGGCCTGCATGCTGTTCTGAGCACCCCTGCTTGGGGCTGGGATGAGCAGGCTGCCCGGACCAGTATCCATCCATCCAGGCCTTCACACCAGCCACTGGCCCCTTTTTTTCCACACCGTGCTGGCTGCTGGGCTGGGAAGGCCTGTAGCAGGTTGTCCTCCCCTCCCTTCGCCAGAGGGTGTGCTTGTACTCCACTGTCCCTCCTCTGCCCCAACCCTGTGCACGCTGCTTTCCTCAGGGGGAGTTCCTGCTGCCCACTGGCGCAGTGGGGACCACAATGAACGGCTGTTCTCTGGCTGGGGGCTCGAGGAGGGAAGGGTTGAGGGACAACTCACAGGGCTGGCTTGGGTTCAGTTAGAAACTATGGGGAAAGAGGTGTTGGCTTGTCCTTGTGAGGAACACGTGGCCCTGGGAGGGGCTGTAGCCTGGAGCCACCCTCCACAGCTGGAGAGGGCTGAGGGTGGGTGCAAGCACTTTCTCCCCCTCTGCTGCCCTGGTCCACCCCTCCTGCCAGGTCTCCACAGCTGCTCTTGCTTGGCTTTTGCCCCTGCTCCCAACAAGCTCCCTGGCTGCTGTGCAGCCAGCATGGTGCCAGCCTTGTCTGTGCCTAGGGCCCCCTCGAGGGGCAGGGGACTTCTGGGGAAGGGCCAGCATGGCTTTTCTGCTGCATGGGAGGAAGGTGTGATGGGAGCATGGATGGGGGGGCAGTGTGGGCTCCTGGTTGTCCTGGTGCTGACAATCCCACAGGCCTGCTGTGGGGGTGAGGCCCCAGGCCCCTCCCCAGAAGTTGCTGAGCTCGTGTTGTATGAACAGTACCAGGGATGCTGCCTGCATCTGCTTGCCTTGAGCTGCAGCTTCTCCTGCTGCCGGGGGAAGGTGGGGTTGGGGCTCGGTGTCCTGTTAGCTCACCTTTGGGAGCTGGGGGAGAGTGAAGGGAGGTTAGGGATATGCTGCTTGAGCCTGGGCGGAGAGAGCTCCCTTGGCTCCTGTGCAGGGAGGAGGCTCAGCAATAGCTGTGCAAGCACAGGGTGGACAGCAGCAAGACCCCAGCTTCCTGGCTAGGCCCAGCTGCATCTCCGACTGACCCAAAATGTATTGTTCTAATGCACTGTAGAAATGTATGTAATGTATTTAAACCATGCAACCGTCTGAATAACAGAGCTGCCGTTCAGCTGGATGCTTGTGTGTCTCTGCAGCATCCTAGAGCAGGTTGGGGCTGGTCCCCTTGCATCAGGACTGGTACAACAGCCTGGCCCAAGGCCCTGCCTCCCTGGTGGAAGGCCAGGGGACTGTGGGACCCAGCCCAGCCTCACGCAGCCACCACTGTCCACCGTTTATTAACCATTGCAGCCTGTCCGTACACTTAGTGTCCTCACAGGTCCTGGCACCCGTTGTCCAGCAGCCCTGCACCTTCTCAGTACACCAGCCCGGTGCTGCTACACGGACCCTCCGGCTCCTTCTCCGCGATCCTGTGGGGAAGGGGCGTCTGTTAACGGTGCGGCCCCGCTGTGCTCGTCCCTGTTCCCTACCGCCCCGGTCGCACCTACCGCAGGTGGCCGAAGCGCCGCAGGGCCCGCGCCATCCCTCCGCCGGGCTGTGCCGGTTGCCGTCGCCGGAGCCGCCGCAGGGCCCGCGCCATGCGCCGCTGGCCCCCGTACCGCCACACGAGCCGGGCGCGCTCCTCGGGCCGCTCGGCCCCGCCGTTCTGGAACAGGCTCCGCAGCTCCGGCAGCCCCACGCCCTGGAAGATGTTGGCCGAGGCCCGCTTGCGGCCGCGGGCTGCGGGCCCTGCGCGCCCCGGAGGGTCGCTCACCACCGAGGCCGGCGTGCCCATAGCCGAGGCCGCTGCGGGTGCCGCAGGGACGACGTCAGGCTCCGCTCCCGGCCGGTGTCCCCCGGGGTCTGACGCGGCTGCCCGGTGAGGAAGGACGCGGCGCGGCGGCAGGGAGCGGGCGGGCCGCGGCGCCGGGCAGGAGGCCAGCCGCGCGGGCGGGGCCGCTCCGGGACGCGGGAGGTGCCCGGCTCGGGCCGGCGCACGCAGGTCCGGTCCCGCCCTGCCGGTGCCCGGGGCGCTGGGCCCCGCCGTGACCCCTTTTCCCCCGCTCGCACAGACCTGGCGGCGGCGGCGGCCGGAAGCGGCTCCGCGGGGCTGCCGCTGCGCTGCCGGGCCCGCTCCGCGCCGCTCCACAGGGGTCCCGCCGCGCCGCCAATCCGCGCCCGCCTTCAGCTGCCAGGGCCAATCGGCGCCGAGGGGCGTGGCAGAACCGCCCCTCCTTCGAGCGAGGCCACGTGGCGCGAGTGACGTCGATAGGTGGGGGAACGGCGGGCGCGGCCCCGCCCCCGGGCGGAGCCCCAGTTACGTCACACCGAGAGGGAATCCCGAGTGACGTAGAGGGGAGCCCCGGCGCTCAGGGGCTAGCGGGGTCCCTGTGCCGCTCCCCACGGCCCCGCCACCGCTTCCCGCCGCCTCCCACGCTTCCTCGGCAGCGGGATGGAACGGGACAGAACGGGACGGGACGGGAGGTGCGCGGCAGCTCCCGCCCGACGTCATCGGCAGAGGAATCCGCTGGCGGGCGCGGGTGCTCGGTGGGCAGGCGGGAGGCGGGGCGGAGAGGAGCGGAGGGGAGAGGAAAGAGGCCCCGCGCGGGGAGGACCGTTAAACGCCAGATGTTTGGCAGCGGCTGCGGAGGAAGTCGCTGCTGGAGCCCTGAGTCCATCCCGAGCAGCCCCGGAGCAGGCAGGTCCGCGCCATGGCCCGCCCGGCTCCCCCGGCAGTACCGCCGCCTCCGGGGCCGCTGGCCCGCGGCTCGCTCAGCCTCCACCGCGCCTACCTGCGGAGCCCGCTGGGCCTGCTGCGCCTCGGGCAGCTGGCGCTGGGCGCTGCCTTCTGGGTGACGGTGGCGGCTCACAAGTACGAGGGGGCGGCCCACTTCGCACTCTTCGCTGCCGTCCTGGTCTGGCTCCTCACCCTGGCCCTCTTCGGGCTGAGCCTGCTGGGGCGCTGGACCCTGGTGCCCTGGCTGGGCTCCCGCTGGCTCCTCACCAACCTGGTGCACGACCTGGCGCTGGGAGTGGGGCTCTACGCGGCTGCCACCGGCATCATGAGCTACAAGGCTGGGCGGAAAAGCTACTGCAACCTGCCGGGCTACAGCCAGCATTGCCTCTACGGTGCCTACCTGAGTGCCTCTGTCTGCGGGGGCATTGCCGCCTGCCTGTACCTCTTCTCTGGGCTCTACTGCCTGTCACGACGCTGCCGGGATGAGCGCGACATCATCTGAGACCCCACAGCACTCACCTTCTCCTCACCTGCGAACGGAGCACAGCACCCCTCTGGGACAAAGTGACCCTGATGCCCCATCCCCTCCCAGCTGACTTCACCGTGCTTCCTCCGGAGACTCCTGCACAGAGGGATGGACAGATAGAGGCCTTCCCCAAGCATGGCTTCTCCTGCATCACACCAAGACAACGTGGAGCTCCAGCCACTGCACAGGCCCCTCTCCCAGCCCTGGACAGATGTTGCCTATTGCAAGTGGAAAGACGCAAGTGGAGAGTCCCTCAGAAGGACCAGTTTCTGGGAGCACCCCAGGGCCCCTGCCCAACTCCCTTGCCCCCAGCCTTACAGACGCTGCATGCTCAGGTGGGTGCTGACCTATCCCTGGGGCAGAGGGGACTGGCCTGGGGGTGCTGAGCAGGGGGCAGTGGTGTGTAGTGGGGTTGGGTAGGTAGAACTGCGTCCCATATGGCCTTTCAGCAGCCCCTTCTCACCATTCCCAACTGCACGGCAATTCTCTAATGGAGGCTCTGATCCCGACTTCCCCTTGCCTGGGCCCCTCCTCCTGTCTGGCCTGAACATGTCTCCCATCTTCCTAGAGCCCCGCGGGTTTCAGCCCATCCTGCTCTGCACTCTGGGGGTGTGAAGACACCCAGGTCCTGCACAGCCTGACCTACTGTCACCCCGGACCCTCGACACGCTGTCCTGCTTGGGGCTGAGCCTGCACAGGACAGCACGGCCTCCATCACTGTGGGGTGAGGGGAAGGGCGAGCAAGGCGCCTGGTCCAGCCCTGGGGTTCATACTGCCCCAGGATGGGGACGGATGGCCCTGGGGTTGAAGGGAGCAGGGCACGGGGTCGTTCTCTCCCCCTGTCCTCCTGCAGTGAGGTTCATGGCCCTGCTCCAACCAGGACAGGCACAGCCTCACCAGCGGCACTCAAGACTGGCCTGCAGCCCTGCCTGGCTCCATGGCACTTGCTTTATCATCCCAGAAATCTCTTCTCGGGACAATCTGGCTCCATTTTGGACCCTGAACTGCCTGGAGACCATGGCAAAGCAGAGGAGCAGGGTGAGCACAGCAGCATGGCAGTACTGGACTGCTGCTGGCACTGTGGCAGTGGGTGAGCTGGGGCCGGGCACTGTGGGGACACAGCCTGCCCTGGGCAACAGAAGAGGATGCCAGCAGCGGGCCGGGCCAGCCCTGGATCAGCCTCTGCAGCCCAGCGGGTGCCAAGCCCTGAGGAAGCCCTGTGGGGCTGCCTGGAGCGATGGGCAGCCAGAGACTGGGAACTTTTGGAGGAGCAGCGCACTGGGGCTCCCCTGCCACAAGCCCTCCTTACCCTGCCTGGGGGCAGGTCCTCTCTGTTGCTCCTGGTGTGAGGGATGATCTGCCCCAGTCTCTTCATAGGCTGAGATCGGCGGGATGGGTGTTCCTTACAGTCGGTTCCCTGGCCACAGACTCTGGGTGTTGTCTGGGGCTCCCTGGTGCCTGTTCTGGAGTGGAGAGCAGCAGTTGTGATCCTCCTGGGGCTTGGGAGGGTCTGGGGTTGGTGCTGGGTCACCGCTTCCATCATGAGGGGCTGTCCCAGCTGATTCACCCTCATGCTGTGGGCTCTGCCAGCCCCCAGGCCATCTGCCCCTTCCCTGGGCAGGATGTTCTGTCCCCTGCCTGTGTCAGGGCTGGTCCCCGACACCTCCTGCCTCTGCCTGCTCTGCTGCAGCCCCTGGCTCAGGCTACCCAAGGTGCCCAGCAGGGCTTCTGCCACCACAAGTGCCTTTCCCTGTCGTGCCAGCTCTGCCCCTCTCCAGCCCCCTCTGCAGTGCCTATGGATTCACCTTCCAAATAAAGCATCACTGGCGCTCACCAGGTGTCTGGGCCTTTGTGCTGGGGTTGGGATCTGTTGGGGACGGGGTCTGAGCTGAGGTTACCCCTGGTTCTGTAGCCCTGCACCGTGGGGCCTCCTGTCTGGAGCCTCTGGTTTAAGACCAGCCGGTAACTCAGCATCACACAGCCACTCGCTCACTTCCCCCTTTTTCCCCCTCCAGGCAGGATGGGGAGGAGCATCAAAAGAATGTAAACCCCAAGGGCTGAGATAAGAACAGTCCAGTAACAAAAGCATAATACAAAACTACTGCTACTAATGATAAGGGAAATAATAATACTGATAAGGGAAATGATAAGGGGAGAAAATATAAAACTAAAAATGGAAAGGAAAAAACACAACAAGCGCAAGTGATGCCCAATACCATTGCTCACCGATACCCAACCCGACCCGAGCAGTGATCCTGGCCTTCAGGGTAACTGCCCCCAGTTTATATACTGGGCATGACGTGCTGTGGTATGGAATACCCCTTTGGCTAGTTTGGGTCAGGTGTCCTGTCTCTGCTTCCTCCTGGCTTCCCCTCCTCCCTGGCAGAGCATGAGACTGAAAAGTCCTTGACTGGGGTAAGCATTACTTAGCAACAACTAAAACACTGGTGTTATCAGTGCTGTTCTCTGACTAAAACCAAACCACAGCACTGCACCGGCTACTGAGGAGGAGAAAACTGTCCCAGCTGAACCCAGGACATGGGGTCAACACATCCTGGTGTGCCCTGGGGTCACGGGCAGCATCCCTGGTGCTGAGCCACCCCTCCAGATAGAGAGGCTTAAACTTCTCCCTTGGGGACAGGGGCTGTTCCCTGCCCCGTCCAGAGACAGGGCACAGCTTGGTCCTCACATGGGTGCTGAGTGCAGGCGCTGAGTGTGGCTGCAGGAACACAGTGGGGACAGGATGGAGCTGCGTTCCTATGGGCTTTGTCACTCCAGACTGAAAGGGCTCTCTGTTCCAGGGCTGCAGCACTGCTGGGCAGTGGTGCCCACACTGCTGGGGCCCTGGAGAGCTGGGGGTGGACTGGGGGCAGCCCCTGGGTCTGTCTCCAGCCCTGGGCTGCACTTTTGGGATGGGGATGAGCCTTGGACCTCTACCTGCAGATAGGGTGTCACCGGCATGGGTCACATGCCCTGTGCTGTACTCATAGCCGAACAACTGGCATAGGGTTAACAAGGTTGCATGGAGTATTATGGGATGCTTCCCCCCTTTTGCACTGTGTGCAGCTCAGGGTCCCCAGCGCACCCCTGGGAGCCAGCAGCCCTGCCCTCCTGCAAGCACCTGGCAGGATGAGTGCGGTGCCTGCAGTGGTGGGAGCAGGACCTGCGGCTCTGCTCTGCAGAACAGTGCCAGGGTAGCCAGGCCTGGGCCGCTTTGGGGTCATGGAAGGGCAGTGGATGAGCTGCCAGCCACGCTTATAGGCCTGGGGGTAAGCTCCCATTCCCTCCCAAGTGCCAGTGTGGGGACAATCTCTGGTCTCTCCCTGTAGACAGGTTCCCAGCAATGGAGCCTATAGGGACAAAACCAACAGTTCCCTGCACGGCTGAGGGCAGGCCATGCTGAGACCCAGCCTGGGACGGAGCCCTGGACCAGGAGCTGACCCTCATCAGGACCAGACCTAGGTTGGGACTGAGCCCCACACAGGGAGCAGTGCTCAGCCCTAGACTGGGCCCGGACCGAGTCCTAACCCGGCCCAGCCCCGGCCCAGCACCAGGCTCACACCTCGACCACCCGCAGCTCAGAGACAAGCCCCACGGCCGCACCGTCCCCGCCAAACCCCGCCCCACGCTCAGCCCGCAGCCCCAACGTCGCGCCCACGGGCGGGGGCGGGGCTGAGCCCCCGCCGCTTCCGGGACCGAGGCCCCTTCCGCCGCTTCTCTCGCGCAGGGGCGGGGTTTCTGTCCGCGCGTTCTAGCCCGGCTCTTCTGATTGGCTGCGTGCGCGCCTGACGTCATGGCGCACCTAGCCCCCTCACGGAAGCGGCGGGTAGCGCAGCGCGATCCCTGCGCGGAGCCCGGCTCGGCCCGGCATGCAGGCGGTGGAGCGGGACGGGCCGGCGGGCAGCCCCGAGGGGGCGGCGGCTGCCGGGGATGCCCCCCTGGAGCTGCCGTCACCGCCGCCCAAGGCCGCAGCCTCTGCTTTCGACCTGCTGGAGCTGGTGCGGAGCTACCGGCGATTGGAGCTCTACCTGGAGCCGCTGCGGGACGCCGCCGAGGGCGTGCGCTCCCTCCTGCGGTAGGTGCGGGTTGGGCCGAGACCGAGACCGTCGCCGTGGGCTCGCGTCCCTCACTCTCCGTCTTCCCCGCAGGTGGCAGCGGCCCCTGTGCTCCCTCCTCGTCTGCCTCGGCCTCAACTTCCTCTTGCTGACCCTCGGCAAAGGTGCGTGTGCGGGGACAGGGCCGGTTCCCTGCCCGGAGCCCCCGGGCTGACCCTGTCCATCCTGTTCCAGCCGCCTGGTACTCGGTGCTGGCGCTGCTGGTGGTGGTGCCGGCGCTGCTGGGCTACCTGCAGGAGACGTGCCGGGCCCAGCCCTCGGAGCCGGAGCTGGTGCGCAGGAAGTATCACAGCGTGCGGCGGGAGGACCTGCGCAAGGTGCAGCTCTCAAAGCAGGAGGCCATCGCCCAGGTCAAGAGCTTGTGAGTCTCTGGGGCCCCACCGCTGTGGGGCTCCTGCTGCCTCTGCAGCCAGGAAGGCTTCTGAGGGTCTGGGTGTGAGGTGTGGGGGAGCCAGGGTGTGTGTTTGTGGGGCTTTTTTGTGACTGCGGTCTCATTTGCAGCCTGATCCAGCTGGAGGGGTTCCTGAGCGGGATGTGCTGCAGCTGCGAGGCAGTGTACCGTGTACTGTACTGGGAGAACCCCACTGTCTCTTCCCAGTGAGTACTATGGGTCAGGTATCCCGTGGTGGGGTCAGTGGGGAGAGAGGCCCAGCCAGGCCTGTGGAGCTGCATTTGATGTGCTTGGTACTTGGAGAGAGGAGATGGAGATCCAGATGAAGGAAAGGGGCCTGTGCTGTGCTGTGCTGCGATTTGCCTTGTCTTGACTGCAGTGTTCTCCTGCTCCTCAGATTTTATGGGGCACTGCTGGGCACTGTCTGCGTCCTTTACCTGCTGCCCCTCTGCTGGGTCCTGGCCATCCTCAACAGCACCCTTTTCCTGGGCAACACCCAGTTCTACCAAGGTAAGACTTCCCTGGAAGGGGCCTGTGTGGGATGGGTTGGGGAAAGGCCCTCTGAAGTCAGGTGAGAGCCTCTCCTGATGCGTGTCCTGTCCTGGGTGCTGTTTTCTGCTCTCCTCCATGCTGTGGCAAACTGGGGCTGACAACAGAGCTTGTACGTGAGCATTGGCATCCTTCTTGATCCTGACCCTGCTCTGCAGGACATGAAATACTCTCGATGCCTGTGGCAGTGTATGACACTGTCCTGAAAATGTGCTGTCAGAGGGGAGGAGAGCTGAAGGTGCTCCCTGTTCTGTAGCACATGCTGGAGTGAGATCTCTGACTAAGGCCCCTGCTGTTCCGCTGGGGCAGATAGTGTGGGGGTTCCTTGCTGCCCTAACTTTGATGTGTGAGCAGAGGAGGCCTCAGGATACCTGATAAGCGAAGGCTGTATATGCCACTGTCCCACATTGAGCCAGGAGATTGGCTCTCGCAGCTGGCTTTTGTGCAGTGGGGCTGGAAGATGGGAAGTGCCACCCCACTCCAGCCGCATTCCCCTCTTACCAGTGATACTGGAGCTCAGGGCCTCGATTGAGCAGTGTGTGGGAGCCAAACCCCTCGAGAGCGTTCCAGAGCCTGCTGAGCCCCTGCCTGCTGCTGCCCCCCTGGACCGGACCCCCACACCTACCAGCACAGAGGTGAGCTAGGGGCAGGGCTGTCCCCTGTGGAGTGGGAGTTCAAAGTCACCCTTTGGTCTGACTGTGCCTGTGTCCCTGTACCCTCAAACTGCTTCCAGCTGCCAGCTTTGGTGATGGAAGCCTGTGAGCTCCTCCTGAGTGGCTGGGGGGCTGCCCTGCTGCACTGAGGGCTTGGCTCAGTTGTTTTGGTGCAAGTGAGGATGCCGTCTGGGGAGGCAGGGGCTCACTTCACCTTCTGGGACTCATGTCTTCTCATGGGGCTGCTGAGGGGCTGGTCCTTTGTCCTGGAGCCCACTGCAGAAGCGTGAGTCCACCTTTGGAAGGGGGTGTGGGTACAGCAGGATGAACTCTGTGAATCTCTTGCAGGACCTTACCCCTGGCAGTGTGGAGGAGGCGGAGGAGGCAGAGCCTGATGAAGAGTTCAAAGATGCTATCGAGGTTTGAGGCTGGTGGGATTGGGCTCTGCCTGTAGGGCCACTGAGGTGGGAAGGGATGAGAACCTCGGTGAGCAAGCTGGGTGCTCAAGGAGGGTGGCTGTGGGGCTGGGTGCCTCTGACTCAGTCTGTACTGCCTCTCCTCTATCCCATGCTGCGGGAAAAGGAGAACCAGCTGCTGGTCATGGTGAGTACTGCCATGCCGAGGCATGCTGGAGCAGCTGGCAGCCTTTGCCTGGTCTGCTGGTGGCTTGTGGGGATGCCATATGGAGCATCCTGCCTGTTGGGTGCCCATCTCTGGGCTGGGCCGCCCTGCAGCCCATGAGCATGCCCACAGCCACCCCTCCACTCTCAGCCGGTTCTGCTCTCCCAGGAGGATGATGAGAGCTCTCAGTGCTCAGCAGATTTTGACCTCAGCCTCCCAGACAACGGTTTTATGAGCAAAAACGAGGTGATCCGCAGCAAAGTGTCGCGCCTCACCGAGCGCCTGCGCAAGCGTTACCCCAGCAACAACTTTGGTAAGGCTCAGGGGAGCTCAGCACTGCAGTGGTGACCACTGCCTTGAGAATGGACAGAGTGGGGATGTACCTGCTAAGGCTGTATTGACACCTTCAGTGCCCTCCCCTCTCCATGGGGAGGATATTTCCAGGCTTCCTATGATGGGTGAAGATGGGAAGGTGCAGCAATATTACCTCTAAGCTGAGGCTTTACAACAGCCGTGGGTGTTCCTGTAGCTCTCGTGGTCCTAGGCAGCAGAGCCCTGTCTGATCTCTGCTTCATTTCTTCCAGGGAGCTGCACTGGCTGTGGAGCCACCTTCTCTGTGCTCAAGAAGAGGGTGAGTCTGCAGCTTCCAGCCCAGCTTGCTGCCTGCTCCTGGGGCAGAGGTGCTGTGTGTGTCTGGCGCACCCTGGCTTTCTCTGGCAGCTCAGGTGGTTGGCCTCAATCACAGCTCAGCAGCAGATGACCTCAGCTAAGTGCTGGGTGTTGTTGCATGCCTAAGGGTGGCAGGGATCCCTTGTGCTGTGGAGTCTTTTATCTGTTTGCTCCTTTGGAAGCTGCCTCAGGCTAAACCTGTGTGTACTGTAGTAGAAGGCACCTGCTCTGTGGTCTTGTTTAACCTGTTTCCTCTGGCTTGAGAGCTTCCCAATGAAGCAGAGCATGGATCTGTTTGTGGGAGCTAGAGGAGCAAAGACCACCCCTTTTATCTTAATCCTAGGTGTGGTGCTTGGCACACAGTCCCCCAGGCAGTTGTGGGGAGGGGGTATCTCTTGTCCCCTCTAGACTGGTACTGATGTCTTCCTGCTGCCTCCCCTTACTCCTCAGTCTGGAATGGCTGGCTCTCTGGAGCTTGCATCCCTCCAGGGTTACAGCATAGGAAGTGATGTAGTGTCCTTAACCCTCCTGGAGCCTGTGCTTTCTCAGGCTGGACACAGGCTGCCTGTGATGTTAGAGCACACTTGAATGCAGATCCAGCACGTGAGGCCTGGGTGGTTTGTACAGGTGGTGTTGGCAGATGACTCCTCTGCTGTTGCTGTTGGGGCTCGGGGCTTGCACCCGCTCCCCTTCAGAAGGGAATGCTGTTAGCAGTGCTCCAGCACTGAAGTTTGCCAAGGAGGGCTGGGAATGGGCTTAGAATAGTGTCTCACCCCCATCTCTCTCCACAGCGGAGCTGCAGTAACTGTGGGAACAGCTTCTGCTCCAGGTGTTGCTCCTTCAAAGTTCCCAAGGCTGTGATGGGAGCCACAGGTGAGTGGATGGTGGAGGAGGGCAGAGCTCTGTCTGCTGCAGGGGTTTGCCCCAGCTCTGGTGGGACAGGACCTGTTCAGTGCCGCTTGGCTCAGGACAGAGTGGTGAACGGTTTGCAGCTCTTGGAACAGCTCCGAGAGTTGCTTGGGAGTGGGGAAGCCTGAGGTGGGGAAGAGCATCTCTGACACCTCCTTTCCTTTGCAGCCCCAGAGGCTCAGAGGGAGACGGTGTTCGTGTGTGCTCTGTGCAACCAGGTGCTCATCAAGTGACTGCACCAGCCCCTGCCAGCTCCTGGGTCCTGCGCTGCCTGATGCCTGGGCTACTTGGTTCCCAGCGTGGCATCACCCTGCCAGAGGCTGCCTGTGCCCACTCCTCCTGCCTGTACCAGCTGGGTGCACACCAGCCCTCCTTTCCACGCAGCATGTGCTGCACCAGCTGCGTCTCTGCGGCAGAGGGGCTGTGCCCCATCTCCATGACTGCCCCATAGCAGCTGCTTCAAGCCCTGGCACTTGCTGTGCCCCATCTCCATGACTGCCCCATAGCAGCTGCTTCAAGCCCTGGCACTTGCTGTGCCCTTCCACGTGCTTGTCAGGCCCTGTGGCCTGGCTCAGTGATGGAGGAGCCATCCTTCCCACTTGCGGCCCTAAGTGGGGCAGAATAACCTCAGGGCTCTGTCCCTGCCTTTCCCAGCACGGTGCTAGGGGACTGTATTTTAGGGATCAAGTTGGAGCTCTGCATTCATTTGGGATGTGGTCTTTGGTCCTATCTCTTCTCAGCTCCTGCTAGTTACTCCTGTGCTGCTTGGCCTCACTGCCTGCAGGTTTAATCTTTTCTCCCCCAATGTTTGGCTGTAGAGTAGAGGAGACAAGAAGGTAAGTTCTGGCTGGGCACTGTGGCCAGGTCTCCAGGTGCAGCATCAGAAGAAGCACAAGTTGCTGCTCTGTGCACGTAGTGACTGCTGCTTTCTACTACAGATTAATATATAGGTGTATATAGAGAGTGACCAATAAATCTCTTGCCCTTAGCTGGCTCTTGTCTTGTGCCAGTGAAAGCTGTCTCAGGTCACCCAGGCAACTGTGCCCTTGGGAGATGGTCATGAAGAAGCGTGTCTCTGCCACTAGCTCCCACTGCTTACTGGGGTTTCTATCTCCTGTCAGGCTGTGGCCTTGTTTGCCCCTGCTCTGTGCTGCGTGCAGCTGCCCCTCCGTGGCTGTGCCAGGGAGCAGCTCAGCTCTGGCCGGAGCTGTTGTGTTTCCTCTCTGCTCCTTCCCCTGCCCTAGCCAGGCGGTGGTCCGGGCAGCTGCCTGCACACACAAGGGTGACCTTTCCCTGTGTGAACAGCAACGCTCCCAGCTATCCCAGGAATGTGACCCTGGCTGCTCTGCAGCTGGGAATGGCCATGGCCTGGGTCCCTGCCAGCCAGCTGCAGCCTCCCCAGCTGGGGGGTCTGGGGTGGCCGGTGCTCTTGGGCTGGCATTGGCCAGTGCCCACCAGGCTGTGACACTCACCAGCTCCCTGCCAGTGTGGGAGCTCACATGGGGCAGCCTGAGCTGTCCTAAACCTTTTCCTCAACCTGTGCCCTATGGAAATGTGGGGGAAAGCTGGACCTGGCAGTGATGATGGGGGTGTCTGAGTTGTGCTGGGAGTGCTCCAAGGGCAATGTGTGCAGGGGGTCTGGCATGTGGAGAGCCCAGCAGTTACTGGAGCATCTGTAATGGTGGGGAAGGGGCTGTGAATCACCCGAGAGCTGTGGGGTTGTGTTTGTCAGTGCGGGTTTATCTGCAGTGGGGTGAGTACTGGCCCATGGAGGGGGCGGTGGTGTTGAGCTGTGGAGCTCAGACAGCCGATGGTAGGAGGCAGAGAGAAGTTACTTGTCCTAGAGGAAACACTTGGAGCGAGGAGCACGATGATCCGTGTGTGTCTGAACACTCCCTGGAAAAGATGCTAATGACAGGAATACAGAGGGCTACAGATAAAGCTGAGCTCTGGGAGACGGGGTTTGTTTGCACACTCGAAGTTATGCAGTAAAATGATGTAATTGAGGATGTTTATCCCTGTGGCAGCCTGGCTCTAAACATACCTTCTAACAACATCTGGCCTTTTCCACATTTATTTTCCACATGGGGAAAAATGACCGCCTGCCTCTGTGTGAGGCTGTGTTGGGGCTGGCTCTCCTCTGTCCCTTGCTCTTTGCAGGTCAGGGGCATGTCCCTCTGCCTGGAGCAGAATGTGAGTGCCCTTTGCTGCTGGACGGGGTGGCCAGTGGGGGCAAGGCCGTACCCAAGGGGTGCAAAAGGAGCTGGGATTACCCTGGCATGGGGCAGGTGCTCAGTGGCCTTGTCAGGGTGGGCACTGGCATCCCACAGCCTCAGTTCCCCTCTTGTCCCTGGAGGCTCCCCTGCAGCGGGGCCAGCTCTGGTGTGAAGCCACAGGTCTGGGTAAATATCCTGTGGTCACCTTCGTGCCTCCCTCACTTGCTGGATGTGGGAACGTGCTGGGTAAACAGGGCTGCAGTGGGACTGGGGTGGGGGGCAGAGGCAGCCCCTGCTGTTGGGGTTGGGGAGCGGAGCCGAGGGACAGCATCCGCCTGCCATCAGAGGGATCAGGGTGAGCGGTGCCCCGGTCCCTGTGCTGCTGGTGCAGGCTGTGGCCCCAGGGAGCCCTTTGGGAGGATGCTGGAGCTGTGGGTGGGAGGTCTGGCAGCAGAGCAGGGCTGTCTGGGACCTGCAGACAGGGCTCTCAGGTGGGATGGCCAGGGAGAGACTGCCCAGGCTGGGCTCTGCCTCCACCTGCCTTCAGTGCCAGGCTTCTCACATGTACCTCCAGCTCTCAGCCCATGGGTCCATCCCCCAGGGTGACAGAGGGATAAACCTCTTCTGTGAACACCCTCACACCCCAATGTGGGGCTCCATCAGCAGTGATGTCCTTGCCATCTGTACCCCTGCCACCCTCCCAGGATGCCTGAGTCCCCAGCAACGCCTGTGACCACTGGGAACCTCACCCCTTGGCTTGGCTGGGCTGCCCAGCCTTGGGCTATGGGCTAGCATTGGTACCCAGGGTGACCCTGCTGCCCCGCTCAGTGGGCAGCATCAGGAGCTCCCTCCCATCCTTTCTGGGGTCCTTGAGGGAGCCCCAGGAGGTGTTTGCCCGTGAACCACAGGACACAAGCTTTCTGATGTGGAATAATTTACTGTGGTGTGGATGGGCAAGGGGTGCCTGGTCTGGGTTTTGGTAGGGGTGTGGGTGAGGGATGCAGCAGGAGGGGTCTGGGGGGCTTGGAAGTGGACCCCCTCACACCCTCAATGAGCCATGTGGGATGGATAGGGTGGGGGAGCCCAGGCAGGGGCTGTGCTGCTCCAGGCACTTGGGTCTCTGGGGACAGTGGGGCAGGAGGGAGCTGTCTCGGGTGGAGTGTGGCCCTGCTAAGGTGGGATAATCCAGGGCTGGGGTGTGAGCTCAGTGTGAGGGCATGGGATGGAGTTTTGGGGCATGTCATCAGGGAGCTGGGCATGGGCCACAGGAGCATCCGAGAGGGCCAAACAGGTATCTTGAGTGCAGGCAAGAGCCCTTGGGGTGCCTGGCAGGGGGCTTGGAAGTAGCCAAGGGTCTGTGGTGCAAGCCAGGGCTCACAAGCGTGCAGAGCAAGGGGTCCTGGGAGCAGAACAGGGGGCTCAGGAGGGAGCAGGGTTCCTGGCTGTGGATCGAGGCTCCCACAAATGCAAGTAGGAATCCTTGGGGCATGGAGCAGGGTCCTGGGGCACAGCCAAGGGGCTGAGGGGAGCAGAGCAGGGGCCATTGGGTGCAACCAGGGGCGCAGCGTGGGGCCAGTGCAAGAAGTCCTAGAACAGGGCAGGGTGGGCAGAGCCCTAGTGCTGCCCAGCCCCATAGAGCAGGGGGTGGTAGAGGGGGCATGGGTAGGAGAACATGAACTTGACGGCGAATTTCATCTCCTTGTTGTGCTTCTGCCAGGGGTAGACGGCGAGGAGGAGCAGGCGGCCGCCCACCTTGCGGCCCATCACCAGGAAGCTGCCACTGAGGCTGTCGAGCTGCGGGCAGGGGCAGGCGCCCGCGTTCCTCATGTGCAGCACCATCTTCTTGGTGTCCTTGCGCTTGAGCGGGCCCAGCTTCAGCACCTTCTTCTTCTGGGCAGCCACCAGGCGCCTCTCCCCGTTCTCCTCTGTCATCTCCTTAATGCGCATCTTTACCACTGTGTGGGGCAGCAGTGGGGCATGGTTGGGGCGGGGGGGGGACTGTGGGGCACTAGGGTGCTGCCTGGGTGGGTCCAGGACAGGGTGCAGCCTGCCCCTGGGATGGGACCCAGGAGAAGGGTCTCTGGGGTAGAGGGGAAGGGGCTGTTGGGGGTGTTGAGCATAGGTCCCTAGAGACCATCCCACATGTCCCATTCTGCCTATCCCCCCCCCCATGTCCGCTGGTGCACCCATCCCATCGCACATGGTCCAAGGGGTTCTCCCATGGGGCTGTCCCTGTACAACAGCACCCTCCAGCCAACCCCTTCCTGGGCTGTCAGAACTGGGGGGGGCAGCCCAGCCCTTTGTCTGTGGAAGGGGATGCCAGCACTCACCGAAGTCACTGGAGCACATCTGCTCCATCATGCCATCCGCCTTGTGCTCCATCTCACACTGGGTGCAGATCTTGGACACTGTGGTGAGAAACCAGCCCCTGTCACAGCTCCCTGCTGCTGATGCTGGTGGCCTGGGCCAGCTCCACAGGGACATTCTGGGGAGCCCCAGCAGCTCCTCTGCTCCCCAGGCCGCTGTGCTGGGCTGATGCAGAGGTCACAGAGCTTTCACCGGCCAGTGTCCCAGCACTCCCCCTTCCCAGGAGGGGACAGGGCATAGGGACACCATCCTGGTGCTGACACTTTGGGGCACAGCAGCAGTGTGGGGAGCCCCATCCTGAAGGCTGTCACAGCCCTTATCCTGACCCTGGGCTGTCCTTGGGTGATGTTCCATCCCCTGCCTGAGGGCACAGTCACCCTCTGACAGCAGCGCGGGTGCAGGATGCAGATGCTCATTGCTGCTGGCATGGGACTCAGTGGGAGGAGAGGGATGCAGTTTTGTGGCAGGTCCCCCAGTGGCTTCCACCTCATCCCATGTTCACCCCCAGAGCTGCTCCCATGGCCACTCTGCTCTTCCCTACCCTGGTGCAGCTCTGTGCAGCAAGTGGTACCCAGTGAAAGCAGCTAATGCTGCTGGTACTGTGCCCATGCGTGCCCTGCTGCGCCCAGTGCTCTGTTTCAAGAGATGCAGGGATGGGGGTGCATGTGAGTCCCCAGTTGCATGGGAACACACCGACGGCAGGTGCCCTGCACGCATCCCCAATCCATCACAGTGCCCTTCCTGCTTACCTGGAGGTGGGGTGGCCTTGCTGTTCCCAAACTGGACGGCAATGCAGAGCTCATGGTCGGAGGGGAACTTGCCGCAGTGCAGCATCTCGGGCCAGGGGAAGCCATAGGACTCCATGACGGGGGCACAGGAGTCACGCACCAC